CCGGGAAAAATATAACTTCTGACTCACATGATCATAGCAATGATATCCTTTCTGTCCAACACTATACCCCAATAATACACAAATATCAGATTTTGGTCGTAACTTGTTTCTCAACATGAGGACGAAGAACAAAACAAGTACATCCAAAGACTCGTAGAGGAGAGTAGTCTGGTAGGTGACCATATAGCTTCTCAAAAGGAGACATTCCTGAATTCAATGCAGTAGGGATATGATTAATCAAATAACCAACATTTAAGATTGCTTCTCCCCAAAAGGCACTAGGAACTGGCGTAGACAAGAGCAATAAGCGGGTTGTCTCAATAATATGATGGTGTTTCCGTTCTGCCACACCGTTTTGTTGAGGAGTATCAGTGCATGATGACTGGTGTATGGTACCATCAGAATCAAGTAACCAAGTAAAATCATTAGAGGTATATTCACCCCCTAAGTCACACCTGAAGCACTTTATCACATCTGAATGTTGAGTTTTAACAAGAGCTCTAGCTATAAATGCCAAGAAAATCATATATGCGTTTCATAAGATAAACCCAGGTATATCGAGTATAATCATCTATAAAAGATACATAATAGGTCGACCCACCCTTTGTTGATACTGGTGCAGGACCCCATACAACAGAATGAATAATATAAAAAGGAGCAATAGAACAAGACATACTTTCACTGAAAGGTAAAGCAGAGAATTTTTCCAGTTTGCAACCACTACAATCAGAAATATCACAAGTGTTAAAATGAACCAAAACACCACTAGATGCTAGCAAATTCAAACGTGATGCAGACACATGTCCCAAATGAGAATGCCAAAGATAAAACTAAGACGACAAAGAACTCAAAGGAAAAGAAGACAAATCAATGTTGGAGGCAGCAGTAGTAGATACTTTGAGAACCTCTAAGACATAAAGTTCTCCCACCCTACGGCCGATCCTAATGACCTTTTGAGTGTGTTGCTCCTGTATAACACAAATGAAATCAGAAAAACACCAAATTACTAGACTTACACAACTGGCTGACCGAAGCAAGAGTCAAAGTGGGTTTGGGAATGTAATAAATATCAGGAAGATATATATGGACCCAACACGCTTAACTATCATAGATGTATCACTAGCAGACATAACAGCGACAAATGACATGCGTGACAAAGAAGTAAACAATGAAAAATAAGGAGACATATGATGGGTTGTACCATAATCTAAAATCCATAAATATGAAGGTATACATGAGGTACCAGATGAAGTAGGACCAGAATGACACATAGATGCAGACATGGGAGTAGGATTGGAGGCCAAATATTATCTGAAACTCTCAAAAACCTTGGAATCCAACGCAGAAGGTGGCATGTTGCCAACTGAATTAGTGTTAGCTGATGGAGCAACAGCAGCAGTGAACTGTGGAGGATGAGGTGAACATGGTAGAAACTTCTACTGATCATGCCTATTCTGTTGTCCCGACTGAGGCTAACCAGCTTTACCATTGTTGACTAACAATGGACACCAATCATTCCAATGATTTTTTTGTTTGCAGAATGCACACTCATCATAAGCAACCCTTGGAGTTTGTCGAGACTGATTAGAGGAAACATCAAGCAGAGGAGGAGTGGAAGCAGGAATGGAGGTTGCTTTAAACCCTTTATCCGCATGAGACTTGATACGAGTCTCTTCAACAATCAGCTCATGAACAACAAAATCCACTAAGGGAAGGGGGAGCGATGAAGAATCATTCCACGTAGGCCTTCAAAATCAGAACACAACGTCATGAAAAACTAGACCAAACGTTGTTCTTCCCTCCTAGCAATATAAGGATCAAAATCTTTTAACTCTTTAGATTCAGTAGAGCCAATTGATCCCACAAATTAGACATAGCAACATAGAAATCTTGAATACTTAGGTCATTTTGTCGAAGGGCACAAACATCATATTCTAACTGATACTGTTCAACAAAGTTGGACTGGGTATACAGTCTCTCTAAGTGATTTCAAACGTCCTTTGTTGTGTCATATGTAGCCAACTGCATACCAATACACCATGTAACATAATTGTTAATCCAAGTAATGACCTCAGATTTATCAGTCTCCCAAGCATCAACCTACAAATCGAAATTCTCAACTTGGGGCACCAAAAAATTGGCTTTAGTCCCAGTGACATAGCCCCACATATTCTTCCCACAAAGGAAGTTCTTCATAACATAATTCCAATATGTATAATTCTTTACATCTAGTCGATTACTAATTGACTGAAGTGAATCATCATTTCCAGTCATGTTGGCAATGGATAAATAACCACACCAATAGATAAGCAATCAGAGAATGAGAAGAGCAACAAACCAGTGGCAGCAACCAATCGAACAACAAAAGACCGATCAGAAACAACAACAACAACAAACGAATATCAACAAGCAAATAAACATCAACAACGAAGGAGCTTCAAACAGATTAGAAACGAAACAGCGTGCCACCCCCCGTAAACCCCAAGCGAACTCACCGCGAAGTTCGATCCGCGCCACATATGACTGCTACAAAACCTTCTAACAATGTATCAAACCTTCGCTATGATACCATAATAATATTGCTATATGATTATTGAAAGAGAAAAATTACAAGGTTCTCAATGAAAAACGTTAAAGCTACAAAGAAGAAATAAGAGAATAAATACTAGCTAAGACTAAACCCTAATGTGTTAAAGCCTAAATAGCCCATAAACATGTGGGCTAACAACATATAGGCTAATACCTCCTGTTTAGCCATCTAGTTATAGAAGTTTTAATAATGATGAGCTTGCCAGTAAACTTAGATATATGATTTTATTTAACAATTAATAATACATGAAATAACTTGTTTGGTCAATTTCAAGCCTATGTGGTGTCCACATCATCATTACTTTATTTTAATTAAATATATATTTCATATTTTTTAAGTAAAATAAATTAAAATAACATCTTTAATATCTTCATTCTTCAACAAGTGGAGAATAAGGGTGCGTTTGGTTGGCAGGAAAGGAATGGAATTCGAGGGAAAAGGATTCCAATTCCCTCGAATTCATGCGTTTGGTTGGACTTAGAGGAGGGAAAAGGATTCCTAAATGAAATAAACTTTCCACCATATGGAGGAAAGTAAATTCCTTCCAAAGTTGGATGGAAAACATTCCTTCTTATCAAGGAAAGTGGCAGATTACAAAAATACCCCTTGTACTTATCAGAAAACCCACCACCATTACCACCACCACCGCTGCCGCCCCACCAATCACCACCACCGTTGCCGCCATAACCACTACCACCGCCGATGTTGCCGCCACTGCCACCGACCACCACTACCACCACTCACCACTACCGCCGCCGCCACCACCACCACCCACCATCACCGCCGCCGCCACCCACCGCCACTGCCTGCGACACCACCATTGCCGCCACCACCACCACGACCATTACCCACCACCACTACCAATTCCATCACCCACCACCACCGTCGCCACCACCACCACGAATAACACTACCACCACCACCACAACCAATGCTGCCACCATCACCGCTACCACCACCGCCACCAGCCGCCACTGCCACCACCGGCACTATCATCGTCGTCGCTGTCGCCACCAGCCGACACTGCCACCATCACCACCACTCTGCCACCACAATCAATGACACCGCCACCATCACCACCACCGTCCCAGCCACCATCAACGCCACCCACCACTGTCGTCGCCACCACTGCCACTGCCCCACCACCACTACCACCACCTCCGAAATTTTACTGTTTTTGTAATTTTCGTAATGTATTTTTACATATAAATTAGAAAACAAGGTAAAATTAAGCAAAATAGGCAAAGAGGATAATTATGTCATTTTACATGAATTCCAATTCCATTTCCTGTCAACCAAACAGATTTTGGAATTAATTCCAATTCCATTTCCTGCCAACCAAACAGCATATGGAATTGGATTCAAATTCCTGACAGATTCCTTTTCCAATTTCAATTCAAATTCCTTCAGCAATATTCTACGAACCAAACAGCACTTAAGAAATCAAAAACCAATGGATGGGTCCAGTATGGAAGGGATGGGTGGGAGATTCCTTAGATTCAGGCTTGAGGGCTGCTTTAACGACTTAAAATCTTTTTGCATGTAATGGGCTTAAAAAATGAGCTACAATTACTTCAGGATCGGGAGTTTTTGACCATAATAGGGTGATTGTAGAAAATATTTACCATTTTAGTGTCTTTGAAAAATATTTACCATATTAGTGTTATTTTCATTTTTCTTTACTTTTCAGCTTTTCTTAATGGTTTTTTATTTTAACCGATTTTTTTTTATTTTTCTCTTTTATTTTACCTTATTATTATTTTATTATTTTTTTTTAAATAACAGTTTATTTTTTTTTATTGTTTTTCTTTTTAAATAACAATCTTTTTTTAATGTTTTTTATTTTAAATATCCGTTTTTCTTATACAAACCTTTAACCATCAAATTTTAGCCATCGTAAATTAAACATACAATATATTTTAAGGTTCAAAAACTCTAACATTAAACTTATTGTTTGATACAAAAAAAACACCACAATTAAATGAATCAGTGCATGTATATTGTTTCCGTGTTTCGATCAACATATGTTTGTTTGATCAAAAGATTCAAAACAACAGCAAGCAATTAGGAAGTTTTGAAGTAACCAAATTTTAACATTTTAGATGGTTTAATTATATACAAATAATAATTTAAAAATCCATATCAAAAACAAAATCTATCCGAACCAAATAATTGTCCAAATCGACATTGGTAATGAGTTTAACTAGCAATATTCATATAAATGGATCAACAAGAATTATGGTCACTATATAGTTTCCTTAGATTCACGCTTGAGGGCTGCTTCAACGACTTAAAATATTTTTGCAGGTAATGGGCTTAAAAAATGGGCTACAGTTACTTCAGGATCGGACCCTTAACTAATCTACTTGATTTCTGTGTCTGATGTATACGTTGAACATACACATTCTAATCCGAAAATTTTAATTCTTCTAACTATGGGATTTGTAAAACCTTAACTAAAAGATTCAAATTTGCCATAAAAAGATAAACCCCAGTTCGGAAATTTCACAGCAATGGCTTCAGACGACGACGCCGGCGGCGATGGTGGTAATGTTAATTTCCCTCCCCTGCTACGTACGTTAGCAAAAGGGGCCGCTATAACCCTAGGTGGGATCTTCACCATCACCATGATCTCCACCACTGCAATTACATTACTCACACAACACAAACAGGTAAACACAAACACCCTAACACCTCTTGTTTCTTGAATTGTTAATTTAACCTTTTTAGAGAGTAATTATGAAGAAAGATTATTAGAAATTAGGGTTCTACAGGGACTGATTTTGAGATATGGTTGCAGAATCAATTTGGTTCGCCATCGTCGTCGTCATCTATGAAGAAAAAGAATACAAGTTCATGCGATGTATGTAGAGGGAAAGGGTTTTACATGTGTAAATTGTGCAAAGGGAATGCTACAATAGAGTGGTCTCCATTGTATGATCCTGTGTTCATAAATCCATGTATTTGCCCTACTTGTGATGCCCATAGGTCAGTTCAATTTCATATTTTGAAACCTCCATAAATAATTGACTTTTTAGAGTCAAATGAGCTTTTTTTAATCTTCAAATGCTTATAAGGAACTGATGAATTGCTTTTGTCATACAAAAAATGTGTTTGGTTGAAAGGAATTTTGATTAAATGTTTGAAATCAAAGGTGGACTTTTTTATTGAATTTTTTTGGAGATTAAAAACTTAAGAAAGTTGACCATGATATTGTGATGTTGATTGCAGGATTCAACGATGTCTTAATTGTTTGGGGAGTGGATACGTTCATGATTCATCAAGCTAAAGTTACAAATGATTGGTTTTCCTTTTGATCCATATACAATAAGTTCTTGTACCCATGATAGAAGTCAATATTTGACTTTTGATTGTGGAATCAGGAATGAGTTTGTTTTTAAAAGATATGTTTGTGATAAACTATAAAATTATAAAAATCTACACTCATTAAATTGCTTGTATATATCTATTATAATTATGCTTAATAAAATGAACTTGATTGGAGACAACAAATAGAATCGAAAGTATAATGAGCATCAAAGATCACTTTGGTAATTATAAAACAATAATTGTTATAAATTGGCAACACATGACATGAACTAGTTCACTTCAAAAATATTTTTCAACACATAAGTCGAGAAGTGGTTACGAGTTGGTTAATTTCATAAGACCTTGATAAAAACTGTTTGAATGGCATTAACGCTTAAGCGATACACCAGATCATAACTAACCATTTTGTAAACTCCGGATTAATTAGAATTGTACCTAATTAGTTTATAATACCATCATTGACTTCTTTTACAAAATGATTTTATTGTTCGCTACCTAGATTAATTAAGGAGCCTATTACCAAAAGATCTTTGAGCTAAATGATATCAAGCCTGTTGGAAAGATGTCTCTCCTCAAAATGTCGAAGATTCAAGTCTCATTGTAAACAAAATGTATAGATTTAGGAATAGAATTAGGTGGGTGTAAATTAGCCGTTCCAAAAAAAATATATATTGAGACTATTAAGTATTCAAAATCAACTAACCTTTCATAAATCAGACAATAACTAAAGTGATCAGTTTCAACTAGTGTTATATAAAACGGTCAAAATCGAAAAATAACAATGTAGAGTAAACTCTAAATTCAATGAATATTACCTTCACATAATAAGAAATCCATTGATTTTTATTGCATCAACCTTAACTCAAATATAAATAGAAATGAACATAGGGGGTTATCCGTCTCATTACCGATTGTTCCTATTAAATTAGAACCGGAACCGGAACCGGAACCGGAACCTGTCTAGGTGGTTCTTCAATTTTTTTGGAACCAGTCTCAGAACTGGCTGTTCCGGTTCCGAGACTAGGAACGGGTAACCAGGTTACAACATTTTTTTAGTTTCGTTAATACAAAATTATTCTTAGTCACTGAAACAAAAAGTAAATACTATAACTAGTTCATTACGATATAAGTTACAAACGGCAAAAAAAATAATCGTTTTAAAAGATAATCCAAATTGCTAAATATAAGTCATAAACCAAAGTTCATGTTCTTACCATCAACATGTTAATGTTATTTAACATCATATCTTTTCAAAAGATATTGCCATTTTGCATGTTCAAATTGTTTTAATGTTATGCATTCACATTCACATTAGACCATTTGTTTTGAAAGTCTTAGTCATCAACGCTGTTACGGCAAATTCGTTTAAGTATTAACTATTTTTAAATTTTAATATTTTGGAATCAGATGGTTACCCGTAACAGTTCTAAAAATGGAAACTTAAACCGGAATTGGTCCTTGGCGGTTCTGACTTTTTGGAACCGAACCAGTGACCTCGGTTCTAGTTCTAGAACCGACGGTTCCGAGGTTGTTCCGGTTCCATAAGCGAGTACCCGCTATACGTACTCACACCTAAATATAACCGTAAGATTTACTTAGCAAGAGGTCTTTGCACAAACGTAATCGGAATGTAGTGAGCAACACTACCACACAAGAATTCTGACAGTCTTTTGACATATGTTCCACAGATGGGAGCCTACTGGTTGAGGTGCGAAAATTACATAAAGAACATTTAGTGTTCAGACTTTGCACGGCCAAAATATACAGTGCTCAATCACGGACGGACGTAGGAATACATAGTAGGTGTTGCCGATGTTGAAATAGGTATTGCCGATACAGGAAAAATAAGTAGAGAAATCGAAAATTTTTCCACTGCAGACAGAAAAAGTAAGTGTTATCCGTGCCACACCAGGACACCTACTAAAACTGCCCCTGTGATCAATGAGTTATCCTTCATGTGATGAGCCTTGGGGTCATCCAAAGGTTGCGGCTTACCCTTTTAAAATAATCATGTGGAAGCTCCAAGTTTCCCTTTGCCCCACGGTGTTCTTGTTCTTTGAGATATGATATCATTGTTGTATGTCTATGTGCCATGGTAAAGAATGTGTTTTACCTTGTTCACGGATTCTTGGATTTACTCATTAGATTGTTGATATTTGTTGGTTGATATGAAAAAATAATTTGTCCCATATCGGTGCAATGTAAAAAAAGCAGACTAGAATTCATTCCTATAAAATGAGCCCCGGGGCGTTGGTATCATAATGCTACATCAAGTATAAGTTTTTGGAATTTGGTTTTTTACGTTCTTTTTTATTTTTTATTTTATTTCTTTAGAGAGTGTGAATATCGTTTGGGGTTGGCGTGAGAGATTATTCTATGTAGCTTTAATAATTTTTCAACATATGTTTTTTTTTCTCAAGAGGACCATATTTTTTATTTTGGATTTGGAGTTATCAATGTTCAATGTATGCTCTAGCTCGTGTTAAAATTTCTTTATTTTTTTGACGTATTGTGGGCAATCTGTGAGATATTTTTCCCCAACATGTTATTCATCCGTTCACTAAAGACATATGTTTGATTTTGTTATTTTGGAAAAGATGTTAATGAATTTTCTTTCAGGTTTTGTGTATGTGCAAAAGTACAACCCCAAATAATTAACAAAAACTTCAATAATTTTTTATTCCAACCAAAATCTCTAAACTATAACTCTATAAAAGTTAAAAGTGCAAAATTGGTATATATGGTTAAACAACAATTGTCATTTTAATCCAAAAAAAAAATTATGACTAGCACTACCTATCCAAAATGGGTTTTTTTTATTGTAGTTTTAGTATACAGAAAGGGACTTAACGAAACTTAACAGTTTGAGAATGGCATTATATGGATGTCATGAAGTTAAAGTCACAAAGCCCATTCATTACAAAAAAAAGGGAAATGGGTCCGAATGGAGAAAATCCTGTCAGAAAATTGTGCGATTCTAGTTAGGTAATTCAAAGTTTTGGAAAAAAAAACATTATGATGTGAAAAAAATGCAAGATTCCGATGACAATATACCCTAGAGGAGGAAAAAGAAAAACTTTGAGGTATGTTTTCAGTGATTGCATTTCTTACTTCAAAAATTATAAAATTAGAGAGCAAAATTGAAAACAATGACAAATCAGGTTTTCAACAAAATGAATAAATATCAATTAGAGACTGCAGATACAACAAGCTTGAGCGAATTGAAAGCCTATATCACAAAGTGGGAGGGAACAAAACAACTTGTAAATCCAATAAGAAAGGGATATGCCCTGGATAAGGCTTTTTAGAGAAATTATGAATCCAGAGGGAGAGGAAGAAAAGGGGGGGGGGGGGGGGCGACATCGATATAGAAGCATTAGAATTAGAAAAACACGTTGAGAAACCTGATGATTTAATAGCAGACCCGGTTAAACAAAATAAATCACGCACATAGTACAACTCGCTTAAACCGGATAATCTTTCTACCAATGTTAGCTCTTATACCGATGATAAAGTAGAAGAAATGGATTTTTCCTTGATGGTGCTTCTTAAGGGAGTTATGAAGTTTGAAGGAATTGTTATGACTGGGTCAATTAAACAAGGAAAAATGGACTGAATCAAATTAGACGAACTGTGGTCGACGATAGAATGTGAATCAAATTTCACTGAGACAAAATATCAAACAACTGTGAACCTGTTGTGACGAATTCAATTACAACACAAACATCGATTCAATTACACTACCACGTTACAATCCCAGAGAATTTGCGATTGAAGAACAAATATCGAGATTGAAGAACAAACATCGAGATTGAAGAACTAACCTGCGATGGAGCATGATGGTTAAGTCGACGATGGAGCAGTAGTGGAAGGAAAACGACGATGCAGGAACGATGGTTGAGCACGAATTAAGAACTAACCGCCGATGGAGTCGCAATGGAAGGATAATGGGAAACAAATCGAAGAAGAAGAATTTGCGATTCAGGGGTGTCGAAACTTCAATCTGGAACAACTTCTCCAATCATTCTTCTCCATTGTCGATCACGTCATCACGTTTGCCAAGTGGATACTTTTGATTCAACCTCATCTTTATTCGACGACTAATGGCTAACGACAGTAGGAAAGGAGTTGATGGGGGAAGAACGTAATGCAAAGGAGATATATGGAAGAGTAAAAGTTTGAGTATCCCACATCGAAGCTGGGAACATTCTATCAAGGAAACGATACTCTATAAAAGGGAATCATCAATACAAAAACAAATGCAATTAAGTTTTAGGAAAGTTGCCTTTTTTGAGCTAGTGGGTCCTTTAGAGTCAACTGGACCGATTATGTCCGAGTTGGACCGATTTGGTCTGAGTTGGCCCAGTTTATTACCAGTATCAGCATACTTGAAAATGAAGAATTTGTGAATAAACTTAAGTGATCAGATGAAGACTGACATCAAAATACATAATCAACATTCAACACATACTTCCAAGGTGCGTGCATAATGTTTTGTAGTATAAAAGAATAATACCTTAGTCTGAAATTGAATACATTTTTCCATTTTTTCAGCTCTATTGATCTCTCAAGCATCACATCAGATGTTTACAACAGTGAGTTATGTAAAAAGCTTAAAGGGTTTCTTGAAGCATAGCTTCAAGTCCCCACCCTCATGTCAATCAACTTCTTATATAAAAGGGTTTTTTTAATTATAGTTTTATGTTATAATGTTATATTTATTAAGATTTTAATTATATTTTTATTTTATATTGTTATATTTATTAATGTTATATTTAATGTTATATTCTTAGGATTAATGTTATATTTATTAATATTTTAATAATTTTTTTAGTAATTAATGGTCCCCGATTAATCCCCTCCTAGCCGATTAATCCATTGACCCCAATCCACCGATTAGTCTACGTCGAGCGATTTCTACAACCTTGGTAAATTGTATAGCACAATAGATAGGTATCGAACACAGGGAACGGTATTATTAGCTAATTTTTACCTACTACTAACTAAATTACTAAGAAATTTAGAAAAAAGTTTTTTTTCTCTAGTTTTGCAAGACTAGAAACTTAATTAACTAAGCTAAACTAACAATTAACTAAAGCAATTATCAAACTAAAGCA